AACCCCCCCCCCCCCCTGGCGTACTACGTTTGCCAGAGCCCGAGCAGAGCTATACTACAGCCGACCCAAGCAAGCAAGTTGGTTCCCTCCACTATAAGAGTTGCTTCTGGCACTGATTCCCCCGACTTACACATCCATACTCATCACACAACATTCATACTCATGCTCATCACACACATACACACGCACATGCACGCGCACAAGCCCTTTCCTCGACATCAGCAGCACCACAGCCGGACGGATGTGCGTGTGTGTGTCAACTCACAAGGGGGGGGTCAACAAACCCTGCAACGATACTACAAAGGCTCCAATTTTGGCGTGCTATCGTCCTCGCCGCTGCTGCTGGCAGCACCGCACAAAACGCAGAGCCTCCTGCCGTAGAGAATACGTAAGGGACAAATGTTCTAGTGTTTAAGCCAACCGTGTCATCAAGAAATCTCAAACAAAGGGACAAGAGCAGAGAGATAACGTCACCAGTCAACCACCCTTGACTCGCGGCTGTTCAGCGTTAGACTCCCAAGGCCTGGGTTCCTTGCGGTTGAAGCGCACATCACCATTGGTGAAGCGCACATTACCATTGGTGAACCGCACAACACGGTGTGAACGTGTGAACGCACACACACACATCCATGATACGAGCAGCCTGGGACGTCATAAGCCTTCGTCGAAGGGGGCTCGTGGCCGCCAGATTTCATCGCTCTCAGCTACCTCTCTCTCGCTCAACACCGGCGGACATGTACCATGAATTTAGGGGCAAATGGGAGCATTCCCAGCATCAAACACCTGACGAAGCCATACCACGCGCTTCTCGCATGCCGGTTCTTGTCGACAGCGAGCACAGAATCAACCCACCAACCAACCACAGTTATTTCTTAAAACCATCAGTAAAACAAAAGTTAAAATAATGTCCCAAGTCCCACCTAAACCTCAAACAAGAGCACTGCTGACGGAGCCAGGATCAACCAGGCGCCGACTAACTCCACGGGTGTGAATTGACAACGGTAAACCCCCTCCCGTTTCTCCGAACCCCCCATTGTTCCCGACCTCCTCGATCGGGTCCGCAACAAGGCCTCCGAACTCGAAGTCCATGTGGGGGGCTCGGGACGGGGATATAGATGGGGTTGTGGCATACTACGCGTGGAGAGTCCACAGAAATTTCCGGAGCATTTAAAGAAGAATTTCCCACGTTTCGTTCCGAAACATCGATGAAATCGACCGACAACACATCACGAGTCCAGGCACTTGGATAGACATTCCGCCGCGGCGGCGTAACCCCTGGACTTGAACGACGAGAACGACCACGACGACCTGTCACCGACCATCGCGGCCCCCGCTTCCCCCTCCCCGCCCCCGAACACTAGCCCCCGCCGCTTAGCCTTCACAGGGTCAGGGAGGTACCTCAGCGGGGCCAACGTCCGGGACACCTGGGACACCACGCACGCCTCCGAGGGGCCGGCGGGGTGCAGGGGACGCCGGGACACCCGCTCCCCGGTCCAGGCGTTTTCGTACCACAGGACCCGTGGCGGGGAGACGCGATTGGGCCGCGTCGCGGCGGCGGCGACGGCGGCGGACGACGGTTCCGAGCTCGCGCGCTGGTGCTGGTGGTTGTCGCCGCTGCTGTTGTTCTGGCTGCTGCAGAAGCCGCGGGGCTTGATGCTGCTGCTGCCGAAGATCTTGGAGGCCACCCTGCCGCCCCCTGAGGGCGGCGATCGAGACTCGTCCATCGTAGTTATCGGCGTGCCGGAGTAGGGCAACCTCGTGCCGGAGGGTCGATAAGGGTGTGGGGAAGGCGGCGGCGGCGGGGGCGGCGGCATCAAGACAGCATCATCGGAGTCGGTGTCGATGTCGGTGTCTACCGAGGTTTCCCTGTCGCTGACGGCGTTTTTGCTGCCGCCACTGCCACCGTCCATCCTGA